ATTCCTTCAAATGCTTTTAAGTAAGACAATTGCCCCCAGACCAATTCAAGGCAGCCTAGAGGGAGGTGGAGAGTAACTTGTCAGGATTTGGTGATAGCTTGCATTTGAACTAAAGATAGTCCACGTTGAAGTACCCTGTGTGCACAGAAAAGGTAGCCTTCTGGTCTGGGATGGCGGGTGCTTGCCTTTACCTGCCTTTCCAAGGCCATTATCTGGTAAATGTAAGGCTCTGGAAAGTCTTCTTTCCCTTTTTCAATGGTGCCTGACAGCTGGTTAGTTATGGGGTGCTATTTCACAGGCCATTTTGTCTACCAGTGGAGACCATGTTGTTCAAATAGAGTGCTGAGACTGAGAAAGTCCAGCCACAAAGAACAAGTTGAAGTAGTTTGCTTGACAGTCTTGTTCAAATCTATGACAGTAATTGAGGACTGATGCATCCTTTTTTTTTGGGGGGGGGTGCAAGGTTGGACAGCTTTCCAGTTTATCTATGATGGGAGAAAAATCCAAAGACTAAGCCTTCTAGCCTAGCTGCTCTCCTCTGATTTACCAAATCCTAACCTGAGCTGATTTTAAATCCCCAAAGATGTTTCCAATTCAGCAGTTAACATCCGTCCTGGGCCACCATGTTGCCCACAAGCATATGGTTTAATTGGAAAGATCTTAAGACCTAGTTTGGTAGGCACTAATGATAAGGCTAAATTGATGCTTGAAGTGAATGCATTGGTGTTAGGATTTGGGATATCTTTGCTAAGGGACAAATGTTCTGATATCGTGTTAAGAGTGTAAATGATGTTTCGGTTTCCATTTCCTGTCTTTTAGATCTTGAAGGGAGCTGTTAGGGAAGGAACCCATGGCAGTGTCGGGGAAGCTTGGGAACCAGAGAGCAGGAAGCTGGGAAGACGGAAGTGGATGGGAGGAAGATGGAAGCAAGGAGGCAGATGAAACGCAGGGAGTAACAGTGCTAGTGGCATTTTAAAGAGGATTCAAGGTTTTTTTGTTATTGTAATTGCTAGATTTTCTAATGAACACTAATCAAGGCACTCCTTTACTTTGTAATACTCACGTTGAGGGATGTGATAATAGATTCTTAAGCCCATTTAGATATTTCAAAATACTAAACAAAGAATGCTTCCTCTGCTGCTGAAAGACTAGTGGTGCAATCACTCTGACAGTCTGTGGCACAGAGTAATAGAGTTAACAGGGAGCAGCATGGAAGATGACTTGAGACAGAAACTTTTGTTGTACTCGTCAAATTTCTCATGTGACACAAGGGAGAGAATTCACAAATAGAAAGAAAGTCCTTGTGTGATCCAAAATTCGCACCTCTTGCCTTCTTTTCTCAAGGCCTAAGCCTGGAAACCTGTAAACAGCCTCTGTGAAGAAACCATGTTCCCTTTGCCTCCCTGTTGTGAGGGTCTGACTATAGGCCTAGGAGTCCTGGCCATGACTGATAAAGTGAAAGCTTGCAAAGGGAAGAATATACAGCAGCGTAGGACACTGAGTAGATGTTAAATAGTTGTAAAAAGAAAGGGGTCTATGTTCCTTAGCTCCTATGGGGTACTGGAGCTTGTCCTGGGAACCACCTTTGTGGGCCTATGGCAAACAGATAATAGATTCTCTAAGTCCCAAGGGATAGGCACAAGTGTTATCAGGGTTTCTGACACCAGCGACTGTGGCTACAAGTACAAAGGCTCTGGAGGAAACCCAGAGTGCATGTGCAGGTAACATTTGGAATTTCAGACCTGGATCCACACTCCTAGAATTGTAGGACATGGATGCTGTGTATTTTTGTGTCATGTTCCTTTCATTTGTTGGGATTTTTTTTTATAAACTATGTAACATACACTGAAATTTATGATTCCCTTTTCATTAATGAGATGATATTTTACCTATGCTTCCTCTACTAGTCCATTTGCAAACATGGACACAGTCTCCAGCCTGCCCAAATATTTGTTAAGGTTTATGTATTATATATTAGCTTTAATAATCAATGGCTGACTGCTTTTGAGTGGGTGTGGATTCTTAGGCATCGTTAATCTGCAGTAAGCATAGAGTTTAAAAATGACTCACACCTGCACTCTGTAGGACAAGATCCTTTGGTAATAAAATTTCAACCCAGATATCTTATGGATCACATTGAAAGCCAAAGGTTCACCTTTTACAAACAGTTCAGGATCGTGGCTTGAGCAGCACTTTATAGGGAAGATAAAATTTTAGACTTCTTGGCATGAACTTGAGACAATGACTGGAGAGGCCATTAAATCTGTCAAAAACCTATCACTGATTGTTCGCATTTTCCTTTTTAAAAAAATAATTCACAAGTAAAATATACATTTCAGACATGTTGGATTTTAACTTTTTCCATTTATTGCCCCTTTGCTTGTAGTGAACATCATCACACACAAGAAGAATAGAAACTAGTTTACACTCTCTAATATCTTTGAAAATAATTTTATCTATGATTAAACATTATGTTTTTAAAAGTCTCATCCTAGCACGGGCTTTTCTTCGCAAAGTAAATTTGTTCAGAACCAAGGTCTTCATCAGATGGTGTATTGGTAAATTTTTCTATGTGATTCTTAGCAACTTCATAATTATCAGTTGGTTCTTCATCACTGATATTTTGGGGGTTTACTGACCAGTGCAGCCCCCCAATGAGACAGCGGACGCTCTTGTTGGTAACAGGAACTTCCCCTTTATTACCATGCACTCTGGCTTATATATTCGGCCGTGACCAATCACATATCGCCACGGAGTCAGCACGGGGCGAGCACGGAGTGTGCACGGGGAGGCTAATTAGGAGAGGGACATAGCGCATTGCAGAAGCTGATGTGGTTTTTAGTCCCAGGCGGGGTATAGTATGTTGAGCACCTATGCCCAACATCTCCCCCTTTCTTTATAACTGAGGCAGGGTCTCCAGGGGTCGGTGCCCCTCGTGAGGTGTCACGCTGCAGTCATGACAGTGCCTCACTACTAGTTGGTGCTCTTTTGGAGGGGGCGGGAGTATTGTTTTATAAGCCCAACCCTCATGCTCATCGACTTGGAGACCGGGGTGTCTCCTGGCCAAGGACGACACCCCCTGCAATGCTTTGCTCAACACCTGCGTCACAGCATGGCGAGCCATGCTGCCAGGCTTTGACCGGATTCCATGACCAGCAATGCTTGTTTGATAATTACTTTGTCCCTATTCCTTTGTCTGTGAATCCGACAGAGCAGAAGTAGATTGCCAAATGTGGCAAGTGCGGCCATGGTAGCCAGAGCCCCTATTCCTGCCCATTCCTTTATGAAAGAGAAAGCTCCATGCTACAGCAGCAGCTGCGGCTGTTGCGGAGGCCGCCACGATAGCTGTCACTATCATGGCCGTGATTCCGAAATCTCTTTTATTGCGCATGAGCTGGATCACAGGAAACTCGTCTGGGTCCGCCATAACTGGAATCGGTACGAACTGGGGTACCTGCATAACGACAGCTGAAAGTGTACTGTTATCCCAACATTGTGACACATAACAGGTTGCGGTGGAGCAATTTAGAAAAATCATATTTGTGGTGGCTTCAAACAACAGAAAAAGGTAGGGAGCTTGCAGGCAGACTGGGGTTTTTGTGATATTGAAGACCTTTTGAGACTTGTATGTGGAGGGTGTGAAGGAATCGTTGCTCCTCACCCCTGAAACATTGCTATGAAAAACACGCACTGGGGTCTCTGTAGTCTGGCCTAATAGCGTGCGGAGCTCCAGGAAAAGAGAATGGGCTCTGGAGGATTCCTGGATAGGGCCCAAGATCTCTAACACTTGCAGGACAACATAATGTGAGTCTGAGAGTAGGTTAAAGGGTTGTAGGTATTGCTTAAAGACCTCTATAATGATCTTCAATTCTGTTAATTGAGGTTGATCAGGTGTAAATAGTTACCAATTCTGTTAATTGAGGTTGATCAGGTGCAAATAGTTACCAATTCTGTTAATTGAGGTTGATCAGGTGCAAATAGTTACCAATTCTGTTAATTGAGTTCACCTGACTTTGGGTGTCTAACTTCCTCCTTTCCAGCGTCCGCTGCGTCCGCTATTTTGTGTGCTTCTTCCTCCTCTTCACTATCTGACGAGTCCTCACTCTCTGGGTCAGGGACAGCCGCCTCACCTGCAACACTGGGCTCACAAGATTGCTCGCAGGAAGATTCTGTCTGATGGTGGCCGAGCGCCATGGCGCCTGCCCTTATATGGTCATGACATGTAGCATCTGCGAGGCAACTCCTCACTATCACCCAAAGAGGTCTAACTCCTGGTTCTAGGAGGCCATTTTCTGCTGCAAAATCTAGGTCTCTCCCTAGTTTGTCCCAATTAGGGATTGTGACAGAGCCTGTGGGACCAAACCAAGGTGCTACCTTATCAACCTGGTCTAGAAAATTTTGGATTTGCTTTCATTTTATTTTCAGTCCCTTTTCTCTCAGTAAGTCACTCAAAGCAATTAACAGCGGCTGACTGGCAGTGTTGCCCATCTTAAGGTTAGTTTCCTTTCCCGTCTTAACCGTCTTAAAGCAAATGTTCCTTTCCGGGGACAGCTTAATCCCCGTGCCCCTTCAAGGCGCCCCGAAACCTGGCCTCTTTACGGCCCCAGAACTCTTTTTACGAGTTCCTCAATCCCTTCCTGGAACTCTCTTTACGAGTTCCTCAGCCTGCCTTTTCACGGCTCCTGGAACTCTCTTTACGAGCTCCTCAATCCCGCCTTTTTACAGCTCCCAGAACTCTCTTTACGAGCTCCTCAATCCCGCCTTTTTACGGCTCCCGGAACTCTCTTTATGAGCTCCTCAATCCCTTGCGACGCGTCCGCCCAAGGTTGCCCGATAGCCCCCGCTATCTGGCGCTGTAGCCCCCGCTACCTGCTGTGTAGCCCCCGCTACCAGCATTTGACCGTTTTACCTGTTAACATCTCTGTTCCATCGGAGAGAGAGGTTCCCCGTATGGGCCACCAGTTGACTGGCGCAGTCCCCCAATGAGACAGTGGACACTCTTGTTGGTAACAGGAACTGCCGCTTTATTACCGCACTCTCTGGCTTATATATTCGGCCGTGACCAATCACATATCACCACGGAGTCAGCACAGGGCGAGCACGGAGTGTGCATGGGGAGGCTAATTAAGAGAGGGACATAGGGCATTGCGGAAGCTGACGTGGTTCTTAGTCCCGGGCAGGGTATAGTATGTTGAGCACCTGTGCCCAACAGTTTACAACAGTGGTTATTTCCACGGCCTATTTTGCTTACACATCTCACTGTCAGCAGGCCTTAGGCAAATTGTCTGCTTCAAAATGTCATGCAGTGCTCACAGAATGTCACAGATTGTTCACAGAGGTTGAGCACATTGGTTCACACAGTGCTGCTTCTGAAATTCTAGACTTGTGTTTCACAAGCACTTGCCTTCAAGCTCAATTTCTTGTGGTTAATTTTAGCTCGTCTCATTACAAAACAAACCCAACAGGACAGTGGCAAGAATTCTACATTTTCTTGTTGATTTCATTCAATCAGTGCAAGTTCAATATCTTCACTTTTGGCCTTTCCATGTCATGCAGTGTTTATTAGTGTTTCCTGAATTCTTCATCCACAGCATCTCTGTTCAGTTTCTGAAAAAGTAGGAAAAGGGAAGGTGAAGGGCTGTAGCCCAATGTGCTCACTGAGCCCCAATCTGGGCTGTGCTGGGCACGCCTTGGAGTAGGATGTTCCAAAGTCGCGCTGAAGCCACAGCTGCAAGATAATGGGAGTTGATGAGTCCTGGGCCCTTGACCAGAAGACTTGGTGCAGTCTAAAGTGGAGCCAAGGAGGAGAGCTTTATTGGCTCTCAGTGAGTACTAGAAATTGGGTCCTGGGGCCCTATTGCCAGAGGAGGCCACAGAGAGGACCATAAACCTGCACACCAAAGCCAAGCACCTAAGCCGGGTGCTGTACCATGCAGTTTTCAAAAGAGGCATGATGCTGATCTAGACATGGGAAAACCACATCAAGCTTGAATCTACCTCTGTGAGGAAGGAAGGAAAAACATGAGTGGAGGGCTGGAGCCCTGTACACTCACTGAAACAGGTCCCCGCTGGACTAGGAGTGCCCTAGAGTCAGGTGATTCAAGGTCGAGCTGAAACCATGGCAGCTGATAATGGGAATTGTTGAGTCCAAAGCCTTTGGTAGGAGGATGCAGCGAGGCATGGAGTGGAGTCAAGAGGAGAAGCTTCGTTGATTACCAGTGAGTGCTGGGGATTGGGTCCTGCAGCTGCTGTCGCTGGCTGGAGGACATCTTGGAATTGGGCAGAGCACTGGGCCACAGTGGCATCACTGGGCCACCCCTGGCACAGAAAGGATAGGTGGGCTCTGCTGGGGATGAGCTATGCCTCTGTTTGGAACCCAATAGCCAAGGACAAAAAGGTCATGACTTGGTTATGTCCACACGGTACAACATAAATCCCTGAAGGAAATTGCAGGTCAACTGGCTGAGAGGCTAGAGGCTAGCCTGAACTATCCCTGTGTCCTTGCCTGTACCTCAGATAATAGCAAATTGGGGAGGGCAGCAAAATCCCAGTCACCAAGCTTCAGAAAGACCCTAAGCAGTATGGAGAGGGCCAGAGACCCCCATGACACACCTGTTTGAAAGAAACCAGAAACATAACAGGAGATAGAAATTTTTTAAAAACTCTAAAGATTGTTCCAATAGGGCAAGGCAGTGATGCGCAAATCATACGATAAGCACATAGCATAGAAAGGCTCAGATGAGCATCATTATGAAAACTAAACTGTGCTAGGTTTTCAGAAGATGGCTTAAGCACTGCAAACAATAACCTGCAGTTGTTCCTTATCTCTAGGGTTATTATACTAAGATGCTAAAAATTAAAATAATTGATTAAAAAATAATTAACAAAAATAGTTACTTAAAAAGATAGTTATCAGTAATATTGTCATTCTGTACTGAGCTCATTACCCTAGTAACCAAGCACCAATCACATAGTTATAAATTAACTGACCACGTTGTTCTGCTGTTCTGTAATGCGTCATCACACCCCAGTGACCTGTGCAATGTCAACTTTTGTTCCCCTTGTAAGAGACAAATGATGCTGTGTCAACCATTGTTCCCTTTACGAAAGACAAATGTTCTTGAAATTGGCAGACCAAGGGCTAGGAGTTGGCTAACCACCCACTGTGAAATGCCTCTGACCTCAAGCAAAGGGGAACAAAGGCCCACCTTATTTCTGTTTCTCATCACTATGTACTTAATGATCAATGAGCTAATCATAAATGAACTATAAAAATCAGTCAAAACTCTAACTCAGTTGCACAGCTTTGCAAATTCCATCTGCACTGTGTCGCTGGGCCAGCTAAAATAAAAGCACTTCTTTTAAAAAGACGTCTTGCCCCATTTGTCATCTTGGGGTCTTGCCCCGTTTTTCACCACGGGGTCTTGTTTTTTAAATAGAGTACAACATTTAGGGGCTCTCCGGGATTACATGGGGACCCCTCCCCACATTTTTTCACCGATTGATCGGCTTGAAACATCTGTAAGTATCTGGATCTTTTGTTCTTTGTAATTTGAGTGCGCACCTTTGAAGTTGCAGAGGAGCTTGGCTGGCTCCTTCTGCACCGGAGCAGGACGCCCTCCGGGACAGGGCTTCTAGCCCATTTGTGATTTGGGATTTTTTATCCATTTGGTTTTGTGCTTGGTATATTTTTACGGTGGAGCCATTTGTTCATTTGAATCTGTTACCTCAGTACTAACATTTAGATTTCCTCTTCTCTTAAACTACTGTTGCAGGTTCCATGCGGCTTATTGGACTTAAGGGTCATAATGAAAATTTATTTCCCTTTAGGTCACTGAACCATGGACAGAAAATCCTTTGTTTGTGTCTTTAATGTTGGTCTTGTCTTTTGTGGCACCTTGTTTAATATTTTAGTCCTCGACTGATTATGTACAACCTTGGCATGCCTTTAAAAGTGTTTTTTGGTTAAAATGTAAATATATAACTATTGTGTGTGAGTGTGGGGTGTGTGTGTGTGTGTGTGTGTGTGTGTGTGTTTATGGTTTTTAAAATCATATTGGCCTTACCAAATAAAGCCAGGTCATACTGTTATTGAGCCAGTTTAAAAAGTTACACTTTTTAAAGTGTAACATTTTAAGGTGGTAATAAGACATAAAATGATTTAATATATTTTAGACTACTAAGAAAGTCACTTGAAGGATTTTGTTAAAAGTTTTAATGTTGTCTAAAAAGCTAGAAAAAAGGTAATTGATGGGTAATAAACAGAAACAGAAAAACAAATGTGTTCAGAATTTGACAGTATTGAATCAGTAAACTTTTACTACAAAATGTTTCCATTAAAATGAGATTATATTCTAAAAAGGGGAGGACAAACTGGAGCCCTTTGTCATCCCAAGTTTATATAATGGTAAAAAGTCAGTGTTGACCATATATAAAATATATTTGCCTATAAAAATAAAAACTAAAAAAGACTGTAATTCTCAGTCCCATCTGGACAAAAAGCCATCAGCATTCAGAATTGCTGGACTGCTCTTCCTCACCCCTCTTTTTCTAAGGATCCTCAGGGCCTTATTTCTCTTTTAGAATTTGTCTTCTCCATTCATCACCCACTTGTGATGACTGCCAGCAGATCTTGCAGATTTTGTTTACAGTAAAAGAAAAAAAAACATTCATGTTGTGGGATAAAAAACAGTGTGCATTCCAAATAAAAACCTATCCTCTGATCCCGAATGCCAGAACCGTGTTTTCCCTTTGTCCCACCCCTATTGGACAACCAGAGGTAACAAGGCTCTCATTCAGTATCGCCAATTGTTCTCAGAAGCCTTTAAGGGCTGCCAGAAAACCCACCAATTTGTCCAAGGTAGCAGAGGTGAGACAATTGGATGATGAGTCTCCCTCGGGGTTTCTGGAGAGATTGCTAGAGGTCTATTACATTTGTACACCTGTAGATCTGGTAGCACCTAAAAAAGGCAAGGGCCATTAATAATACCTTTGTAACTGTCGGCACCTGATATTAAGCGAAAGTTGCAAAGACTTGAGAGATTTAAAAAAATGCCCCTCAGTTAGTTATTAGAGTTTGCTTAGAACTGACTCTTTCCTCCAAGCTGGTGCAAGCCATTCAACAGATTCCAGTTCCTGTGACTAAAAAGCAAAGATGAGAATTTCTAGGAGCCATAAGATATTGCCTAATTTAGATTACAGACTCAAGAGACCAGGCTTTTCAGCAATTGAAATCAGCCTTAACAGAAGCTCCAGTTCTGGCTCTGTCAAAGTTACAAAAACCTCTTTCCCTCTATGTTGATAAAAAACAAGGGAGAACAAAAGAGTACTGACCCAGAGTTTAGGACCATGGCAAAGGCCTATTGCCTATCTTTCCAAGAGACTTGATAATGTGGCAGCCCAATGGCAGCCTTGCCTGCAGATGATTGCCTCCTGGTGAAAATGGCCCAAAAGGTGACATTTGGACAAAAACTTTTAATTATCTCCTCTCGTTAACTGGAGACTCTCATCAAAGCTTCACTGGATGGATGGCTGCCTATCAGGCATTACTTCTGGATCTGACTATCATCAGTTTCAAGGGGACAGTGTTTTTAAACCCAGATACTCAGCTGCCTGATGATGACCTCTCCTTGCCCCTCTGATCATTTCATGGGGCTTTGACCAGACTTGACAGACGAGCCACTTTCCAGAGTTCCATCATATTTCTCTGATGGAAGCAGTCAAATCTATCAAGGTAAGCAGGCCATAGGAGCCGCTGTCACAGATTCTCAGATTCTATGGGAACAAACCTTGGAGCCAAAAACATCAGCCCAATGGGCTGAACTCATTGCCCTCACTGAGGCCCTCAATTTGTCAGACTGATAGCAGATATGCATTTGCTACTGCCCATGTTCATGGGGCCATTTATCAGGAATGAGGTTCATTGACTTAAGGGGGCCAAAAGATAAAAATGCTCCCCAAGTTTTAGATTTGTTAGCTGCCATTTGGATGCCAAGGAATATGGATATTAAATAATCTAACAGATGCAGTTATCCAGAAAGCAGCCACAAAATCAGTGGGGATTGAGACAATCCCGGCATTGCTACTGATTCCACCCACTCTGTCAGAGCCCTTTTGCACTCAAAAAGACTTACATTTGGCAGCTCAACTCCAAGCAAAGTCTGATATCCCTGGGGGCTGGTACCAACTGCCTGATAATCGAGTCCTCCTCTGCAAGGCCTTGAGATAAAAAGTCATCCAACAAGCTCATCAGTCCACTCACATGGGAGAATCAAAACTCGCTGCTCTTTTTGAGATCCAGTAAAAACAAAAAAAATCCTGTATTATTACCTGTATTACTAAAAATTGAGATAACAAGGTCAATAGGTTTAAGAGTGTCCAGCCTGATAGTCAAAAGACCAAAATTATAGACACTTACGTGCACTCATTGACCAAGATTTAACAGCCCTTAGTGACTCTGTCTCCAAATTAGACGATTCTTTAAGTTCACCTACTGAGCTGGTTTTACAAAACTGGTGGGGTCTAGATCTCCTGTTCCTAAAGGAAGGAGGCCTCTGTCTGGCATTTAAAAAATTGTTGTTTGTATGCCAATCATTATGGGGTTATCA